TGTGTGTGTGTGTGTGTGTGTGTGTGTGTGTGTGTGTGTGTGTGTGTGTACATGTCACAGCTCACACATAGAGGTTCTGTGAGTGTGTTTGCCTGCCACAGCTCACACATGGAGGTCACAGGATAACTTTTGGGTCACCAGTTCTCTCTCTACCCTGTGGGTCTTGGGCACACACTCAGGTTTCAGAACAAGCACCCCTTATTTTGCCAGCCCTGAGCCTGGCCTTCAAAGCCAGCATAGGTTACTGAAGTCCATCCAACCTGTTGCACAGATCAGCAGTTTATCCCTCTAGCATGCACATGAGTGTGCAGATGCACGGGTCCATGGTCACACATTCAAAGGTCGTAACAGGACACTGGGTGCCATCCTCTCTGGCCCTCTGACTGATTGCCTTGAGGCAGTCTCTCCAGCTTATGCCCTTTGTTGCTGGGCATATGGCCTAGTCTTGCAATCTGTTTAAGTGTTCACTTGTCACTAAAGGTGCTTTGTTATGAATAAAGCTTCAGTGAATATTCACACATTGGACTTTGCATAAACATAGATGCTTATGAATTCACAAGAATATACTCAAGAGAGAGGAACTAGCAGGGCGCCGCCTTCTACTTCTCTCAAAACTGCCTCATCCTGATGGCCTTGCTTTTGGAACAGTACTGATTTTAAATGTAAGTTTATCACATGTATTATTTATTTATTATGGGGGGGGGTGTGTGCCATGGTACCTGTGTGGAGGCCAGGGGAAAGCTTGCCACAGTCAGTTTCCTTCTTCATCATGTGGCAGCAAGCGCTCTTCACTCTGAGCCATCACACAGATTTTACATTATATATCTCTAAGCAATAGTTGCACTTCTAATTATTCATATCGTGTCATGTAGGGGGAGGAAAACCCAAGTTCACTTGCATGTATCAGAATACAAATTTATAGCAAACATCCTTGCCATGCAGTGACTTACCTGCTAGGAAATAAAAATGTTTCAAATTTGCATAGTGGAACACAAAAGCTTAAATTAACAAAAAAGCAAGAAATTCCCAGAGGAAATGTTTATTGGAATTTGTTTGTTCCAGCCATAGACATTTTGTTTCATTTTGTTTTAGAAATATATGATTTTGGTACTGTCTTTTAAACTGTTGGCTACTTGAAAAAAAAACAAAAAAACAAAAAACACCTCACATATGCTTGTAGCCATTGTTACTATGGATAGTTTATGTCTAAGACAAAAATATAACAGGACACATTTTCTATGTTACAATAAGACTTAACATAGCCCGAGTGCTGGGGACATGGCTCAGAGCATAAAGAGAGTGCAAGCATAAGGAGAGTGTGGATCCCTAGAGCCCACAGAAAGTCCAGGCAGGGGTAGCAGCACTTGGAAGCAAAGACAAGGAGTCCCTGGGGAAACTGCTGATCAGACAAGCTGGAACCATCAAGCCTGGGCTTCAGTGAGAGAACAGCCTCAGCCCATGAGACAGAGAGCAGTAGAAAATGATAGCTGCCGTCATCTTTGGGCCTCCATGTGCAGCAAGCGTGCGTGCGCGCACACACACCCCAACACACATGTGAACACTCATACCCACACCACACACACACACATGCAAAAAAAAAGATAATTTGGTAAAGTGCCTTTCACAGAATTATACACATAGAAATCTGTGTGTGTGCACACATATACACCTTTGTGGAACACACGTAACATAGAGAAACAAGGCAGAAAACCTCAGAACAATAAATAAATGAGATGCATTGCCAAAATATGAACATCTGTGGTGGGCTTCCTCAACAGGTGGATTAATTATGCATCTAAAATAGATGATAATTCTGCTCTAAATGTCATCTTTGTTTTGTAAGACAAAGGCTAAAGATACACATTATTGTTATCATTATTTTCTGTGTGTATATGTGTGTGCATGTACTGCTATACATGTATGCATGTATGTGTGCAATTGTGTGTGTACGTGTGTATTCAAATGAGTGTGCTTATATAGCTGTGTGTAAGCCAGAGAGCAACGTCTTGCACTGTTCCTCTGGTGCACCACCCAGCTGCTGTTTTGAGGCATGGTCTCTCCCTAGGCCTGGAACTCGGCTAGGGAGTTCGGATAGCCTGGCTGGCTGGGGAGCCTCAGGGATCTGCCCGTCTCTACCTCCTCAGCATTGTGACTATACACACACCATCACTCCTCGCTTTTCTACATGTGCTACTCGGATCAAACTCAGGTTCTCATGCTTGCATGGCAGGCACCTTCTAGACTGAGCTATCTCCCCCGCTCCATATTTGTTTGGTATATACCAGTGGTTCTCTGTTGTTTGAAATTTTAAAAGTCCCAGTCATTTGATTTTGCCAATAAAGACTCAGGAGCCAGATGCTGAGGTGAAAGCCTTCTAGCTCAGAGAGGCAGAGGAAGCACCCAGCTGACCTTCCTGCTCAGCTCACATCCCAGATAGAAAAAGCCTTTCCTACTCAGCTCATGTCCCACATGGAAAAAGGCAAAAGCCAAAAGCTAAAAGTTGTTCCTCCTCCTTTTCCTCCTCCTCCTCCCCCATGATGTCTTAAATACCCTTCTCTCAATGTCTCTTCTTTCTGTTTACTCCCTGTCAGCTGGTTTCTTGCTCTGCCTCTTGACCTAAGGTTGACTTTATTTAGCTCTTGGATTAAAGGTGTGTGCCAGGACTGAGCCAAAACCACAAATACTTGCTTACAGTAAACAGAAAGCTCTTGGGTTAAAAGTGTGTGTTAGGGCTGAGCCACACCAAATAAGAAACAGGTTTTTACAGTTCATAGTCTCAGGGTTCACAATGGGATCAAATATCCTGCGGCAGTTTTCAACCTTCCTAATGCTGCAACTCTCTAGTACAGGTTCCTCATGTTGTGGTGGTGCCCAACCACAAAATTATTTTGTTGTTACTTTACGACTGTAATTCTGCTACTGTTATGCATCAAAATGGGAATATCTCATATGCACAATATCTGATATGCAATCCCTGTGAAGGGGTCATTTGACCCCCAAGGGGTCATAACCCACAAGTTGAGAATCACTATTATATACATATAATTACAAATATCTTACAACATAAATGCTACCAAACAAATTTTTAAAATGCTACTAAACAACCACAGGCTGAGCTCAGCTGATGGCAACATTCGTTCACATTCTTTTCCTTCTTTGGAGAATTGGTCACTGCTTAGGGAGCAGCCCACTGAAGCCCACCATGCTCACAGTGAAGGTCCCTTCTGTGGTCCTGAATGTAGCATTCTAGTTCTTCCTCCTGTGAGGCTGGGATGACCCATCTTCTCATCTCTATCTCAGTGATCAAAGGAAGTAGGGTCACAGCACACAGTAAGCACCTAAACCATCGCCCACAGTCCCAGGAACTTGATGGCCGAAGGCTGATGTCTAGTTCAGTTAAGTTTTTAAGGAAGCAGAGACTTTGGCAGAAGACGTCCCATCCTGTGTCACAGATGCTGTCATTGTAGCTCAGATCAAGCATCTGCAGCTTGGCTAAATGGCCTGTCTGTATGACTGAGGCTGGAAAACAAAATTACTCTAAGTCATAAGGATACTGTCTCCCTTGGCTGTTCCCCCTTTCCAGTAACATACCACTGCTGAGAGAATTAACAATTGCTAAAGACTTACTCTAGCCAGTTGTTTTATTTGGGGCATCAGAAAGTATTCCAGGAAGAAATTTTACCTCTTTGCATCCCAAAAATACAGCTCAAAAATAGATTTCTGCCTTCTTTTTCTAAGCCTCAACTGGAAGAATTTTTTTTTTATATCAGTTTAAGTTCTTTGCTCTCATGGAGTCCCAGCTCTCCCAGACTCTTCCTAATTAATGCCCAGAATGATGGCTTCCTGGCTTTGATTAAGAACCATTGGTACACAGCCATCTTGCTGTTTAATGCTGATCAGTTACTCATAGCTTCCTAATTCTGTCATTATTGACCCAACAATTATTTGACTGAGTATTTTCATTTCAGAGGTGCTGGGAACTGAGCCTAGGATCTCATACCACTGAGCTCTATCACCATCCCTAACAGTAAATTCAATGTACAAAACATTCTGGATAATTTCAAGTTCACCTGAGAGACTCCTAACACACAAGATCATTTCCTCTCTGAAGAGCTTTTATCATATTGTGGCCCAAGAGAAGCTGGTGGCTTCTGTAGGAGGAAGGAGGCAAGTTACCCAAGGCAAAGGGCACCCACCTTCTTCAGCTGAACCGAGAAAAGGCATAAGTGACACAGTATCTCAGAGTAAAGGATCTTTGGAGTCTGTTTATCCAACCTACGGGTTGATGGTTTGTCCTTTTTGATTCTGTCCTCTGCCCCATCCTCTTTCAGTTCATTGTGTAGCTGATCTTACAGAAGAAAGCCCTTCTTAGGAACCCAGCCTATCTTCTAGGGACTTTGACCTATCACTCCCCTCTTTGGTCAGTTCTTCTCAAGAAATACTTGTGGCTCCAGAAATCAGGCAGCTGGTAGCAGAGTAATGGTGGGGGTTATTAAGTGAGGCGGGAGGCCCCATGCTCCCATCATTCCCAGATGGAAAGTGTACAATGCTATTGTAATTTGATATTGGGCTAAGGTACATTGCGTGGACTCTGACAGCTTAAATTATTTTTTTCTTATTTAATTTTATTTCTGTACTTCTAAATTGCCCTGGGAAAAGTGTCAGGTTTCTGCTACAATATCCCTTTAAGCTTCTCATGTCATGGTTTTGGTGTTGGTTTTGGTTTGACACAGAAAGAATGAGCTTCTACTGAAAGCCTTCAGCAGACTAATATCTATAATAATCGATACTCAGATTTCAATTTTGACGATTTTGCTTTTTTCTCTATTTCCAATTCAAGACAGGGTTTCTCTGTGTAGCCCTGGCTGTCCTGGAACTCATTCTGTAGACTAGTCTGGCCTTAAACTGCCTGCCTCTGCCTCCCAAGTGCTAGGCTTAAAGGCATGTGCCGCCACTGCTCACCGTGTTTTCTTCTTTATTTTAGGTAATTTTTATGCACTTACTTTAAAAGACACATTTTCATGTGTGTGTGTGTGTGTGTGTGTGTGTGTGTGTGTGTGTGTGTGTGTCTATGCTGGGTTATGCACACCTAACTGCAGGTGCCCATGGAAGCTGTGAGTCCCCTAGTGTGGGGCTGGGTCCCCTGCAAGGGCATTATGCGTTTTCAGTTGCTGAGACACCTCTCCGGCTTGCTGTAACTAATTTTTTATGTTATTAGCTTTGAGATGCTGGGGACTGAACCCAGGGTTCAGGTAGGGTGCATGCTAGGCGAGCACCCTACCACTGAGATACAGCCTCAGACTCTCACCCCTTTCTTATTTAAATCAAAGCATTTGGGGGCCAATTTATGGGAAAAGTGAACAGTGCAAGTACCACGTAGCTAGTGCACAGTCAGTGTAAGCAAACTGCAGGTGATGGACTTTCCGTGAATGGCTGAACTGGAAGCTCCCTGGCAGGAACCTCCCTCCCTCATGATCCTTTTCCGAAACACCCTCCCCCTGCCATGTGGCTTCAGAATTACACTATTCGGTTTAACCAGCTCTCTCCTAAGCTACCGCTGAGGAAAAGGAAGCTGCCTCATTGCCAGGTCCACCACCTGATCCATGCTTTGTGCCAACACTACCTTGGGAGGGGCTAATACAAACCCAGAAGAACCAAGTCCTCTGTCATTAGGGAGCAGCTGCTCAGCCTCAGCACCCGGAGTGACCGTGACAGCTCTAATGTTGGTAGAAGCAGCTCCAGCCTACCACCAACACACTTATTCCAGGAAAGGTTGAGCATCTCCAGGGCAGGAAGGTAAACAGACGCTTCTGCTAAAATTGAAATGAGAAGAGCATCAGCAACTCAGATCCCACGAAGGACCATAAGTCCCTCATCTGTGGGGAGAGGACTAGGACAATATATGACTGTACCCAGGGCTGAAAAGGTTGTGTTTGGGGCACTATTGGCATGAACACATTTTGGATAGAGTGCTTAGATGCTAATTAATTCTCAGTTGGCTCCTAAATTAAAATTAATCATGACTCATTACCAAGCACAATAAAGCCATTTTTAATTGTTCTGCTTTCTTTATAAAGAATATTATGTGCTCAAAAGGAAATCTTGTTCACCCGTGGCATGAGGTCTGCAACAAACGGAAGTCAAAATTTCTGTTCTTCTTTTCTCTTTTAAAGGTTTATTTATTTCATGTGTACCTGCATGTACACAGAAAAGGGCATAAGGTGCTAGTATAGATGGTTGTGAGCCACCATGTGGTTGCTGGGAATATGAACTCAGGCCTCTAGGAAAGCAGACAGTGCTCTTAACCACTGATCCATCTCTCCAGCCCTTTTAAATCTATGATATATATATATATATATATATATATATATATATATATATATTTGGTTTCTCAAGACAGGGTTTCTCTGTGTAGCCTTGGCTCTCCTGGACTCACTTTGCAAACCAGGCTGGCCTCGAACTCCCAGAGATCCATCCACATGTGCTTCACTAGGAGACTATTCCACACACGTGTCACAGTGTACTGCTGGAGTAGTTAGTATACCTGTGCAACTCTACTGAGAGAGAACGTGGGAGACTGCTCTTGGCCTCCTTGGGGCTTTGCCTCACAGACCTTTTTCTTCCCTGATCTTATTTTGTGTCCTTTCCCTGAAATGTGAGTACAACCACATGCCGAGACTTGACTTTTCCTCAGAATCAGTGAAGCTGGAAATGGTTCTGGGGACTGAATGCACACAGTGCTGGTTTACCTAAGTGTGGTGTTTGGGGAAGTTCTGCAACATCCCTCACCTCTAAGCACCTCCTTCACTTGCCAGCCATGACAGGAAGAAATTCTAGATCTGGTAGACCGTTGGTATAGGCCAGGATAGATGCATGACCTCAGGATTCCTAAGACAGCGTAAGTCCCGTGGGGAATGAATGCTGAGTGGGCAGCTAGACTCGGACACTAGTAACTCTCTCACTTTCCAACGAGACCCTCAGCATCCTCAAGTCATGCTCCCACTCAGCAAAATGACAAGTCACCGGACAGAGGCGTCTAGAGTTGCCTTCATAGCATTTAAAGGGAAGTGCCACTCAGAGATTAGGGTGCAGCTCAGCTGGTAGAGTGCTTGCATAATACGCCACAGAGTCCTGGCTTCTACCCTTAGCACCATACAAACTGAGCACGCTGGTGCACGTCTGTAATGTCAGCACTGGGAGTTCAAAGTCACTGTCAGTTAACTAGCAAGTTCAAGGCCAGCCTGGGCTAAATATGAGATCCTGTCTCAAATAAGTAATACAAGTAAAATAAATGCCAATGTATTTCATAGGACCGTATATTTCCTGGGGGCAGGGGGGACAAATAACCCAAACAAACAGAAGCCCCATGGTCTTTAGTGACTTTTCTGCACCTTAATCTTGGAATGAAATTTGTGGGTGGGGGAGGGGTTCTCTGAGTCACTGCCCAGTGCCTGCCAGGAGCCTGGAAGCTTTCTTACCAAGGGCTGTGAAAGTCTCAGTTTCCAAAGAACAGCTGTTGATAAGCAGGGACTTCAGGGCTGGTATGATCGGAGCCTGCTGAGGAGATTTGCAGAGGAGCCGCCTACCTTTCTGTTGGATGACAAATCCAGTTCTTGAAGGTTTGAGAGTAAAGGAATAATCCGAGCTGTTGAAATATCAACCATGACACATCTGAGGCACTATTTCACAGAGTCGCAGGAACGTCTGGCTCCCACAGGCATCCTGACCTGGCTTCTACCGAACTCATCTGCATGACACAACCCTCCCCGGTACCCAAACACAGATGTACCACCACCATATCAGCCTTTCGCCAGAGACTTTCCCCGGCTTCTTTATTCCCAAGCCTCCCCATGGACCATAAGGTAAAAGCAAAGGTTTAGGAGACCGAGAACTGAGTTCTAATCTGGGAACTGTGTAATTAGCTGGACTTGGTGCTCCAAGCCTGTAAGCCCAGTCACTTGGGAAATGAGGAAAGGGCTGGTCGTCCAAGACCTACCTGATCAACATAGTGAGACATGTCTCAAAATAAGAAAAAAAAAAAAAGGAATGGGTACAGAGCCTAGTGGTAGAGTATTTGCTAGCATGAGTAGGCCCTAGGTTCAAACTCCAGGATCACAAATACCATGACAAAAATAACCCCTGTATGATTTTTGCAGTAGCTGGCTACTCTAAACCTTAGTTTTCTTAATCACAAGATGGTTGGCTTCTTCCTTGTAGTGTCCTTTAGTGCAGGCACAAATTAATATCTGACATCATTCTTTCCTCAGAACATAAGTACCAGTAAGGCAAGTGAGACAAACAATCAGAGCATGTTCTTGTCTTAACAGCCCTGTCCTGGGATCCGAAGGGGCCTGCTGAGCCCGAAGGCAGCAGGGAATGAAGGAGTTGGCCTGGTCTAGCTGCCTTGAGAAGCATGCATCATAGGTTTTTCAGACGGGCGTCCATGGCTTCCGGGGCGCTTGTGTGCCTTCCAGTTCCTGAGCAATGGAGGCATACCCTCAGGCGGTAGAACTTTCAGGCCACCTCCTGATTCACTATGCTTCCCTAGAATTCAGCAAAGCATATAGAAACTTCACAGGACAATTGGTCTTAGACATTAATCCCGTGTACCCTATGTAGCTCTCAAATGTCATTGTATCCTGGCAACTACCATTGTTTTCATTCTGGCAATTGCCAATATATTTCTGATAAAGGCATAAAAAGCCTGATTGCTTGGAACAAACTTGTCACAACCTCACTCTTGCTGTGAGCCCAACCTGTGCCTGTCAAAGATTCATTCCTCACGGGCCGTATCAGGTCATCTTGGCCCAGTAATCAACCACAGCTAGCCCTGGCCCACTCTCTTTCTACTATTTGCCTACTCGTAGGCTTCTCCCTAGCACGTCTCACCATATGAAGCATTATCCCAGGAGACTGGTGGAGCTGGCTTATCTCTGTGGAGCCCTCCTAGGCCACCCAGCCAAAGTCACCCCTCAGTCACTGTCAAGAACGAGAGGATCCCTCAATGGCTTAGACGTTTGAACACTCGGTTACAGCTGGCAGTGCTGTCTGGGGAAGCTTAGCAAGTGTGGCCTTCCAAAAGAGGTGATATCTGAGAGTTTAAGGACTCAAAACCATTTCCAGTTTGCTCTCTCTGCTTTGTGCTTGAGGTTCAAGATGTGCACTCTCAGCTTCCTGTTCCTACTGCTGTGCCTACCCCTTGTTGCCATAGCTCTGCTCCACTATCATGGGCTCCTATACCCCTGAAGCCATGAGCCCCCCAAACCCTTCCTTCTATAGGTTGCCTTGGTCATGGTGTTTCATCGCAGCAACAGAAAAGTAACTGATAACTATCCCATAGCATCTATGCTATTCCCATAGCATCTATGACTGCACACTATGTTCTTGCTGACCCTTTGTTTTATTCCTACTCTACAAGACTGACGCTCTGTCTGAATTTCCTGTAGGCCATGGCACAGTGCCTCACAACTGGGAAATTAGTCAGCAGTTACTGGCTAAATGATCAGTAATTCTGTTCCAATCAAGTTATTTGCAGTGATAAGTGAATGGTCGATTATTGACATTCTAAGGTAGAAAACAGGGTGCATGTTGTGGGGAGCCCATGAAGTCCTGAGGGAAGCTGCACTGTTGGATGAGGGCATCCATGTCAAGGACCCCGAGGCCTCAGTCCATGGTAACGGCAAGGCCTTCCCCAGGACTAAGTATGGATGTTGACAGTGTGTACAGAAAGTATCAGCCACAGCCTCTTCCTCCTCCTCCTGATGAATATACCCTGAGACTGTTTCACTATGGAGACTTCCTACCAAGACTAGCCAACCTTCCTCATTCAGCGGTATATAATAATCCCTCCTCCTCATTCAAATGTATATGCCACAGTAAGCCCTTCCTTATTATTCAGCTGTATGCAATAAAACTCCCTCCTCATTCCATGGTATATAATAAAGGCACTGAGTTTCCAGGCTGCCAGTGTGTCCTCATCGAAGCTCATGGCCCACCTGATCACAGCTTTTCTGCACCCGTGTCTGTCATTTCTTTGTTCTGCCTCACCCCTGTCAGGTCAAGTCCAAAGCCATGCACGGCACAGCAGCATCTCCCTTCCATTTTTTTTATTTTAATCAAAAGCAACAGAACAATGCTACTCGCTACAGTTCTTACATGGTCATTAGCTTCCCCAGGACATTCTGTTGCAGCATGGTCCTGCGCTTTGTATTTAATTGTTAATTGCTTGTCCACCAAGATCTTTTTTACTGTTCTATAAGCAAATGCTCATGTGCACCAAGTGAGGATGTGCAACCTTGCCTCCACAATTATCCCTGATTGGCCAATAAAAATGCCTACACCTGCGCTGGGAGGAAGAGCGGTAGGCAGAACTAAGGTTCAAGGGCTTAGATACAGAAGGATCATGGGGGAGAGAGAAGAGAGAGAAGGAAAGGAAGAGGAGAAGAGAGGAAAGAGAAAGGAGCGGGTCGCCATGAGTTAGCATGAAAGAGGAGCACATGTGGAGAAGGAGCTTGCTCTGGGGATTGGCGTGATGAAGAAAAGCATCCCAGAGGAAAAGAACGTGGGAGTACTTATGGGAATGATAGATGGGAAGTCTCCCAGGGAGGAGTGATTGGAACAGGTGACTTGGGATGTGTGGCCGGGAAATAACAAGGTAGGTTAGGTGGGTTTATATCTGACCAGCCCCACTGGTTAAGGTTGCTAGAAGTCTAATCGGTGTCTGCATCTTGCATTTTCCTAGTAGCATGTTAAGGAACAACCACTGCATTAATAATCATATGAATCAATATTAAACATTAATAATAGTTGCACGGCAACCCTCCCCCACGCCCTAGGCGAGGAGGGCGTATTCCTGCACTGTGTGGGCAGCGGCAGTGAAGCGCCTCTAGCGCAGTGAGAGGAACACTGTGAGAGGCGGGTGTGCCACAAAGGATGGGTGGCCAGCTAACTAGGAGTGTTCCCTCCACCTGCGAGTAAAGGCCTAGGAACAGTGCACAGCGCTCTGTGGAGAGCGAAAGGGGGATTTTTCTCCTCTAAGGTCTTCATGAAGCTCTGGAACTCTGCCTTTTTTTTTTTTTCCAGAATGAGGGACAAGAGCCTGAGGAATAATTCAGCAGACCCAAAAGTTGGTTGTTAGATCGGAATTTTTATTTTGCTGTTTTCCTCCCCCACATTGTCTTTAAAGTCTGTGCTATTCTTATCTGCCACCCATTTGCATACTGAGCATCCCCTTACTTAGGGAATGTCCTGGTACCTACATTTGAGCAATGGGGAAACTCAGGACCAGCCCCCCTCCTACCTTGGAAGTTGCCCTCTGTCTGAGCAGAGAAAGAACAAAGGTCCAAAGACCATAGCATGCCTGGGATGTCTGAGAATAGTGAGGCCTGAATGGATTTTCATGAGATGAGGGGTGGAGAAGAAAGGCAGAGAGATGGATTGACTGGAAGATATTTGAGCTTTTGTAACAGTTGAGGCATGAGATGTTAGGTCCCCAAGCTATGGTAGCAGGAATCTGTATGGTAAGCCATGCCAAATATGTTGAAGGTTCATTACGGCCACATATGGAGAGAGGAAGAGTAATTTCTGATCTTCTTGCTATGAAAAATCGCATTTATTTTTTAAATTTATTCATTTTTTATTTATTACAATTTATTCACTTTGAATCCCAGCTGTAACCCCTCCCTCAGTTCTCCCAATTGCACCCTCCCTCCCTCATCTCCTCCCACACCCCTCCCCAAGTCCACTGATAGGGGAGGTACTCCTCCCTTTCTTTCTGATCCTACTCTATCAGGTCTCATCAGGACTGGCTGCATTGTCTTCCTCTGTGGCCTGGCAAGGCTGCTCCCCCATCAGGGAGAGGTGATCAAAGATTCAGCCACTGAGTTCAGGTCAGAGACAGACCCTGTTCCCATTACTATGGAACCCACTTGGATACTGAACTGCAATGGGCTACATCTGTACAGGGGTTCTATGTTTTCTCCATTTGTGGTCCTTGGTTGGAGTATCAGTCTCAGAAAAGACCCCTGAGCCCAGATTTCTTGGTTCTGTTGCTCTCCTTGTGGAGTTCCTGTCCCCTCCAGGTCTTTCTCTCTCCTCCTCCTTTCATAAGATTCCCTGCACTCTGCCTAAAGCTTGGTTATGAGTCTCAGCATGTTTTGATATCCTGCTGGGTAGAGTCTTTCAGAGACTCTCTGTGGTAGGTTCCTATCCTGTTCCCTATTTTCCCCTTCTTCCAATGTCCATCCCGTTTGTCTTTCTGAGTGAGGACTGATCATCTTATCCAGGGCCCTCCTTCTTGCTTAGCTTCTTTAGGAGAAATTGCATTTATATATTAAAGGTAATAACTACAGAAGGATGTTGATGGCAGGAAAATAACTGTCATTATTTAAAGTTGCAATGTCTATCTATTATATGGTTCCTTTTCAGTAACTGCCTTTCTCTCTGAGTGTCTTGACTTTGTTGTTTAAAAGCCTCATTTCAGTCTTGTCTCCACATACTCGTATGTAATCAAGTTGTAACACTAAGATACTTGTTTCTAAAAAGCAAGAGAAGTTCAAATTTTTTCTCCTTCAAGTACAAAAGCTTGGATTCCTTAACATTTACTGGGCGCTCGCTGCACACACAACACTCTGATGACTTGCTCAGTGAATTTAAGCACACAATGTCCAGTTTCTGACTCTCCAGGCATCCCACGGGTTCTGCCCCACAGGACACACTTACTCAGTGACGACACATCTTCTTCTGTGAGCGAACACTGGTGAAGGTCTAGGACTTCTAGCTGCTTCAGTAAGGCCAGCCGAGCAGGCACGTCCTCAAAGCCTCCACCCAGGTCCTTGTTGCAGGAGAGATCCAGTGTCTCCAGCACATCCAACGATGCAAAAGCATCATCTACAAAGCAAGGCCCAACCCCAGTCCTGAAATTCATACTGTGAGGCAGTAGGAAGGAGTGTGGGAAGGGAGAGGAGGGAGCAAGAGAGGAGGTTAGGTGAATATGCTGTCCTGCCAAAGCCAGAGGGGGGTGAATGCAGAGTCCCTACCAACTAGGCCTCAGCAGACCCAAAATGACGTCACAAGCTCTCCCTCTCTCTCTAAGACACCCCTTGGCTGCCACTACTTCTTGTCTATGAGGACACGTGACTATGCTGCCAACCACACTTGAGCACTGACCTTAGATTTACTCAGGCTGCCAGTAAGAAGGATGTTGCAGGCTCTGAGGGTCGCAGGGAGAAACAGCGTCATTCCCTATAATAGGGCTACTCTTCCCTGAGAGTAAGTCTTCACCGTAGATGTCACAGGAGCCTCTATTATTACTTTACCAATATCAATACCTTCCTAGCACTGAGCACAAAATAATGCTGATGTCTTCAATGGCGACAGGAAGCCTACCCAGTGTCCATACCCTAGATGTCCCAGCCTTTTCAGAGCGAGTCCTTTTAGAAGCTTGTCTGCTCTGTGGTATTGATCCTAGAGCCTTACACAGGCTAAGCAAGTGAGAGTTCTACCTCCAAGATACCCCATCCTCTCCCCACCCCAACAGGGTTTCTCTGTATAGACTTGGTTGTCCTGGTCTTACTTTGTAGAACAGGCTGGCCTCAAACTCACAGGGACCCATCTGCCTCTGCCTCCTGAGTGCTGGGATTAAAGGCATGGACCACACCTAGATCCCTCTTTTCACTTTTTAAATTTTCATTTATTTATTATTTTATTACATTAAGTTGCCTGTGTTGGCCTTGAACTTGTGACTTTCCTTCCTCAGCCTTTAGGATTTCAGGTCTACACTGCCAAACTGACTAAAGAGGGTTTTGTTTTGTGTTTTTCTGTTGTTTTTTTTTCTAATAATGAAAACGTATAGTTACTGTGAAAGAGTTTAAAGATAAATAAGTCTAGCATTTAAATTCCCAACTCTGAAGCAAATAAATAAACAAACAAACAAACAAAACAAAGAATATTTAAGTTTGTAGTTTTAAATAATGTATATGCTATATGTTTATACTATACATTTAAGAATATTTCTGAATGTATGGGAGTGAGTGCCACGGTGTGTGTGTGGAGATCAGAGAACAACTTTCGGGAGTCGGTTCTCTCCTTACACCCTGAGCCCTGGCAGAATGGGGTTCATCAGGCTGGGGTACTTTCACCCCGCGCAAGCTATCTCACCGACCCTGATATCTGATACGCTTTATACTTTACATGTACAATCTTCAATGTAACCATTGTTAACTCACCCAATATTCTGACGCTCTTTTTGGATAATCCACAGGAATGCAACCTCAATACCTTCAGGCCTGAAGTACTTTTTAGCCCTTGCACTATGATGTCTAGACTGCTGCCAATGTTTCTGTTAATGGAAAGGTCAAACACTTCAAGGCTCTGCAGCTTTGGCAGCAGGCGACCTGAAAGGGAATAAGTACAAACAGAAAGAGCTTCCATTGGGAAGTCAGAGGTCAGCAGGAGGACTACTGCGGCTCCCTGTGCCTTGGGGACAGAGAGCATGGGGGGGGAGTCCCCAGCTTCTAATCACAGGCATCCTCTATATTTTTCCAGGGAGGACTCTTCCAAACTCTACTTACCCACAAACACTCCATCCTGTGATGTGAGGGCACAGTCCATAAGTTCAAGGGTTCGAATCTTGCTCCCCTTTTGGAACGTATGGAGAACCTGAGGCAGCTTCCCTCCCACTTTGCTGTTCCAGGATAAACTCAGTTCTTCAAGTTCAGGTATCATTTCAAGAGCATCTCCTAGTACAAAATGTCCCCAGTGGATGTTGGCTCATAAAGGCAGAGACGTAATTCACAATCAGAACAGCTGGTGTTTAGGGAGTGTGGAAGCTAGGGCAGATATTGTGTTAGCTGAAGGAACAAAAGAGAAGGAAGGGACACAGTTCCTGCCCCTAACAATAGAATGAGACAGGAAGCCATGACTCTTTGCTCGGCTGTTCCGTGGTGGTCATTATCCGCTGCAGCCTCCACCTGCTCTCCCTGGCATCAGATTGGACCCAAGGTGGATGGAAGAGAAGCAAACAGGAAATTGACCACCACACTGGTAATGCTCATTTTGACACTAAGACACCGCTGACCTGGCCGCCAGTGAAGAAGTAGTGATGGATGGCCAGGCACTAACAGTGGCGACAGCCACCAGGTCCTGAGGGAGGAGCTCAGCCTGATACCATTTCACAGGAAGCAGGGAGAGTGGGGAGGGGGAGCAAGGGAGACATGGATGGACAGCTGAGGTGGGACAGCAACCAACAAGACTTGTGGGATTCTTGAGATCCTCCCAAGGGACAAACAGAGTGTGGACATTTGACCTTCATTTGATAAACACAAATCTTTGAAGATATGGGAATGACTAAAATAATTCATTAAATTAGAAAAGAATACATAAGCCAGCAAACATTTCCAGTTAAAGCATTTGGATAAATAGTATGAATTTTCACAAAATTTATCTTTTTGTTTCAGCGTATAATTTAATGCAATTAAGGCGTTAGTTACAATTAAATAATTTTTTAGTTAAGAAAAAAGACTCATTTTGATCAATTCCTTAAGGTGGACTAGAAAAATAAAGCAGGTAGGTATTATTTTGGAATTTAAAAGCAGATTGACTGTTATCTACTCCAATTCTTCTGTTTTACAGATGAGGTCAGGAGACCCAGAGTGAGCTGGCCTTACAGTAGCCACAGCTAAGAGCCATGCAGACAGGTCATCTTTATCTCTGTCCTTACTCACAGAGCTCAGCATAAGCTGGGCTCCAAGGCACAGAGCCTTTCAGCAGTCACTCAAGGCCTCATCATAACACTGTTTCCCAGCATGCTCTTGACCATCCATACATGCAGACACAAAACTGTTTGCCTTTGAGGGGTCAGGTTGAAAAGGCGCTTCAAGGAAAGCCATGTTTTACATTTTTAAGTTTGTGTATATATAAGCATGATGTGTGCACACACAGGAAGCTGTTGTGTGTTCCTCAGGTGCCTCTGTCCTTATGTTCGTTTGTTTGTTTTTGAAAAGGGGTCTCTCACTGGCCCGAGCTTGCTGAGCAGGCTGGCTAGAGGGCCCAGGAATCTTGCTGTCTCTTCCTCATGACACTGGGATTCTCAGCCTGTGCCGTCATGTTCAGCTTACATGGGTTCTGGGCTTTAAACTCGGGTTCTCATGTTGGCATACCAAGAGAAGTCACGTTTTAGGGGAGGAGTCACCATACCCAGTGTTTGAAGGTCCTCAGTGGTGAGTCTGCAGCTACTCAGCCGCAGAACTTTTAAGTTGCTGACAAGATGCATTTGCTGAGTGAGCGAATGGAGGGTTCCGCTGACAAAATCATTCCAGGAAACGTCCAGTTCTTCCAAGTCTGAGAGGAAAGGCGGAAAAACAGCTGAAGAGAGAAGAAAACTCAGATCCGAGTGTGTGCTCTCTGATTGGTAGTAAACAGAGCCCAGCACCTGCATGCCCAGGATGTAGTTTTGAATTATATGAAAACACAGGGAGCAGGCATGTTGACATTTAGCAAAGCAGGGGTGTCTTGGCTGCAAGTGAGGAATCTGCCTCATTTACGTTTCCTATCCCTTGGGATATTTTCTATTTCTGCCCCAAAAGTGCACTCTGTAAACACAGTGATATCCTCACAGGGTTCTACGGAACTCTCTGTGTAACTGTTGGACCCTGTGGTAGAAACTGTTCCTGCTGCTGCTGCTGATACTGTTTTGTGCACACTGCTCTTCCTGTGTTGCCAGGCCTCTGTCTGACAGGCACCCGCCTTGATCCAGAGGACCCTCAGACTGAAAGCTGGAAAATGCTCCAGGGCCAGGTCAACAGAGACAGGGAGTATCTGTACATTTTCTTTCTTATCTTGACCACCCACCCATCACTACCTTATACGTGTTGATTATTATCTATTTTGAGACAGGATCTCACTATGCAGCCCCGGCTGGCCTGTAATTTGCTTTGCATCACAGAGATCCACCTGCCTCTGCCTCCGGAAGGTGGGGATTAAAGGCATGGGCCATCACCACCACACCCAGCACTATCTTGTACCATAAAAGGAGAGTGATGTGAAGGTTTTTATGGGTACAGCCTTCACTGAGTCTCTGTCACAGCTTGTTAAAAAGCAGTTTCCCTCTGTGTAAAAATTCTCAAACAGCATCTTTATCTTGAGTGGACGATGGCAAGTAGAGATGGCTGAGTGGGGGAAGGAAGCCATGCTTGAAGGAGGCAGCGCATTGGGGTGCTGTGGTCAGAGAGTCTGAAGTTGCCAGTTCTGAATCCACAGCTCCAGCAAGTGCCTCTTTCTTCTAAGAGCAGCGAAAAAACCAGGATAAAACCACCGACTACATAAGGAAAAGACAACAACAGAAATCCAGGGAAAGAAACACCTTGCTCTCCACGGAACACTGAGTTAGCTGCCGACTGCTTTCATTACGACTTCTGTTTGAATTCGTGATGGAAGCATGGCTACCACATTCAGAGCACAGGTTAGAGCACAGAGTCTGCTGAGGGCTGGCGGAGCTACAGGACCTGAGGCTCAACGAGCCCGGTTCTGTAGGTTTGACGGTATTTCCAGCAGTTCAACTGCTTCTGATCCCTTAGGCTTTCTTTGGCTTATAGTTCCCGGGCTACGAGCCGCATCCTAGGGCTGGTGAGATGACTCGGTGGGTTTGCCTTGCCCACTCAACGTGCAGACCTGAGTCTGATCCAGAGGCCCTGTGCCATATAGACAGAACTGACTTTCTCAACTCTCTTCTGACCAATACACATGAGATATGACGTGCACATACACATATTCGCACACACAATGTTAATTAAGTAATGAATGTAACTTAAAAACAGTTTTTAAAGAGCCCTGTGACGTAACAGTGTAAATTTTAACTCAAATTAATTTTGATTGGTGAAAATACTGCTATGGCCTAAATATCTATTTCTTCTCCTCCCCTTGCAAGCTTTGAAAGCTAATCCTAGTGTAATAGTATTAAGAGACAGGATCTTGAGCGGGAGAGATGGCTCAACAGTTAAGAGCTCTGGATGCTCTTCCTGGAGGACTCAGGTTCAATTCCCAGTACCCATATGCTGGCTCACAACCGTCTGCAACTCCAGTTCCAGGGGATCCAGTGCCATCATCTGGCATTGATGGCATCAGGCACACAATGCATATACATACATGCACATAAAAACTTATAATTGTTATGGATGTAAACATAGTTTTGTTTTGATCCCAGGTGTAGGATATGGGACTGATTCAGATTGTCTACAGCAGCAGCAAACTATTTGCCTCATGGGGGCTCTGAGAGGGGCTCTTTGCCAGCTGCAGATAGTTTAATTCTGAGGACTCTGAGAGGGAATAGATGCCAGGGCCCAGAGAGTGTTGAGGGCTCCAAGAAAGAACAAAGCTGCTGCTGCTGCCTCCCTCTGCTGCTTCTGCTTGCTGCTGATGCAGCTTGACAAGAAGAAGTTGGACTTTCCACAAGGAACCATATGACCCTAACCAACAGGAAGTAGCCCAAGAGAACGCTGCCCCCTGTCCTCATTAACCTCCTTTCTCTCTTACCTGGGATTGGGATGTTGGAAGGGATTGGGTTGGAGAAAGGAGGAAGAGGTATAAGAAACATAAATAAAAGAGTTTAAAAAAAAAACAACTAGCGCCAACAAATAATAAAATAAAATAAAATTTAAAGAGAAAGACAAGCTCTTATCAGGTAATTAATTAAGGAAGTTGGAGCCCTCATGAACATAATCAGTGTCTGTAGTGGTTTGAATGAGGTGTCTGTAAGTCTTTGGCATTTGAATCCTTGGTCCTGTTCAGGAAGACTTAGGAGGTGGGGCCTTGATGAAGGAAGTGTGTCACTGGGACACTCTCTAAGAGACTGCTTCCAGTTTGTGGTTGGACATGAGCGCTGCAAGCTGCTACTGCAACCTCCAGCCCAAAGCTACAGACTCTAAACCTTTGGGGCCATACGCCTAAAATAACCCCTTCTTTCAGGAAACTGCTTGGGTCACAGCGTTTTTGTTTTTGTTTTTGTTTTTTTCCACAGCACTAGAAAAGTGACTAATGCGCTGCCCTTCTGAGAGAGTAGCAAGTTCAAAGGACTGTGTTCCACTGTGGCAGGATACAGCTAGCACACACCAAGACCTCATGAGAGCAAGTTACGTTGGCTCCAAACAGACTGTTTCCCATCGCAGCCCATGTAGATTAAGACTAAATTGAGCCTGTTGGTGGTGGCACAAGCCTTTAATCCTAGCACTCGGGAGGCAGAGGCAGGTGGATCTGAGTTCGAGGCCAACCTGGTCTACAGAGTGAGTTTCAGGACAGCCAGGGCTACACCGAAAAACCCTATCTCAAAAAACAAGCAAACAAAAAACAGACTAAGTTGAGGGCACCTAATTTCGAATGCAGTTTTGGTGTCTCTCTGTTGGCAGAGATTTGGTGTCTTCAGGGGCTCATTTCAAGGTCTCTGAAAAGCCAAATTCAAGAGTGATGTGGGAGGAGGAGCTCTTGACCACCCAAGGCATGTCATGACAGCAGACATTGTTACTTTTGTTTATAAAAGATGTGAGCAACAATTGCTGGAGGTTAGACTTTTTGTTCCACAATTCTGAACAAGACAATACCCCTCCACACCCTCAGGGGGACCCTGTCTCATGCGCTAGACTGGTGGCTTTATAATTTTCGGGAGCAGACTTATCTCAAAGAGCAAGATGCAGTCACTAGACAGGTAAAATTGCTCAGGAAGAAAACAAGTGAACTGATCTCCTAAGTTACCTCAAATCTGTGAGGCTTTAGGGAAGCCACTGATTTTTTTTTTTTTTTTTTAAGGAGAGCAACCACAGAAAGCTTTTATTTGTTCAAAGACACCAATACCTTTTGCTGTAAAATAAGAAACAATCCCAACACCTTGATTCTTATTAGAAGGTACAGTGGTTTGGTTTGGTTTCACAATAGTGAGCCCATGGATCCCAGGCTACCTTGAAACTTCCTAAGTAGTCAAAGTTGACCTTGAACTTCTGATCCTGTCCTCCCCACCTCCCCAGGGCTGCAGGTACAGGTTTTCGCAGAGGTTGGGTAGAAACCAGGACTTCGAGAAAGCTAGGCAGATTCCCTTTTAACTAAGCTATGTTCCAGGCCCTTGATTGACATAAGTTTGCTTGTCTGCTTTTTAAATAAACAGTGGCACTGCCACTTTCTGAGGGTGTCTAGGGCCACTGGGGAGACCTGGGAGTACCGCATGGGTCACTGTGTAGGTCTGGACCGTTCCTCTTCTGATAAAGGCCTTGCATTCTTGATTCAAAGGTAAAGTCCTACAGACCTGTTTCCTGCGCATCTGCTGCTGTTAATCCGAAGCTGTTCAAGTCCGAAGCCTCTCTGCACGTGTTCTTCAGGAACTGGTCACTGTCTTCCATATTGGATTTCAGTTTCTAAATCAAGAGGCATCACTATATAAGAACAGATAATTTTCTCTTAACAACAGTTAAAAATATAAATACTAGCCAGGCGTGGTAGCTCGTGCCTGTCATTCCAGCACTCAGGAAGGCAGAGGCAGGCCATCTCTGTGAGTTCCAGGCCAGCCTGGTCTACAAAGCCAGTCCAGGACAGTAAAACCAAACATATACATTTGTATAAATATATATGTATCCTCTCTGTGATAAGGTGTGGAGACAGATAACAGCCCTGAGCTCCCTTATGAAACCTCCAAAGGTGGGAGAGGACCAGGGCCATTCACTGTTCTGACAGTGCCCTCCAGCCCGAGGCAGTCAGTGGATTTCCTCTCCTGCTCAGCCCTGGGATTCTGAGCTATAGAACTGAGTTATGCACTGAGCAGCTTGGTCTAGCATTTCAAAGATGTCCTGTTTGAAGAACGTTCATCCCTCTGGCCAGTGAAATGCAGGTAACTCCCAAAATTCAACCAGTGAAGAATGTTGGGAACAGATATCATTATCAAGAAATTCCAGATGGCCAAGTGAGGAAAAATGTGAAGGTCAGTCTCTAGACACAGACCATTTAACTGGGAAACATGAAATGGAGAGAGAGACAGTAGTCCCTGAGAGAGCTGTAGCATTTTCTCTGCTCCTGCCAGGGGTTGCCTTCAAAAAGCCACGTGTGTCCTTCTAACAGGGATGATTTATGTACATCACCAAGTTCCTCTGGAACAACACCACACTAATAGATCTAGTATGTGTGCGCGCACACACACACACACACACACACACACACACACACACCCCAGCAAAAGCCAGTGACTTTACCAGACACTGATCACATAGCAATTCTTCATGTATTTGCACGTACTAGCATTTAAGTCACACAACATACTTCTGTCATAACAAAAGGATGTGCATGCATGATGGTGGCCTTAACGTGCTTTTGTTAAGTGAAGATGCACAATTTTAAAGAGATATACACAGCATACTGAAATCCAATACAACTGAAAGTCCTAAATGTACAGGCATTTCACTCGCCCTAACCAAAGAGTGTAAGAGCTGCCAGGTATGATGCCATATATCTGTAATCCCATCACCCTGAAGGATGAGCCTGGAGGACTGCCAGTTTGGTCTATAGTGAGTTCTAGGCCAGCCAGGACTGTATCTCTTAAAACACAAAGAAAAGTTGTAAAGCCACATAGCTAAGGAAGAATGCATTTGGTGTTAGTGAGAACTAATGTGATTGTAAGTTTAGACTAAAGGACTCGAAGTAACCGAACTCCACTTAGCTATGTGTCTATGACCTGAAGTTCTGATAAAAACAAAACAAAAACAAACACACACACACACACACACACACACACACACACACACACACACACA